GGAGACCAGGTGTTGCTTGGGGGGGCGTCGCGAGGTGGGTGTGCGAGGAAGGGAGCGAGTGTGGGGGAGCTGGGGTCGAGGCGAAGGACCCGGGGTGAGAAAAGACGAGTCTCTTCCCTTTTTCTTCCCGCCCATCTCCCCCCCGCCCCCTTTTCCAAAATCCCCTAACAGGAATCTTCCCCGCCTCCAGGGAGCGTCGAGCCAATCCCGCGGCAGCGCCCCTGTGATGTCACGTGTTGCCGGGCAGACTGCCGCGCTGTTCCCGAAGTTGTAAAGTGGCCCGTGCCCCTGAGAGGGGACTGTCCTCTCTATCGAGACCCACACATAAGGAAAAGCGGGAAGGAGGTGGGGGAGAACTCTTATTTTGTTTGAGTTGGAATCTCTCTCCGTGCCCAGGCGGGAGGGCAGAGGCACGGTCACGGACACCGCAGCCTCGACCTGCCGGGCTCCGGTCATCCTTCCGCCTCAGCCTTCCAAGTAGCTGGAACTACAGGCACGCGCCACCACGCCCAGCTAATTTTTTTATTTACTGTAGAGACGAGGTCTCACCAAACTGCCCAGGCTGGTCCTTATCCCCTGGGCTGAGGCAGTCCCCTGGCCTCGGCCTCCCAAAATGCTGGGATCACATGCGTGAGCCACTGCGACCGGCGAACTCTGATTGTGAGGAAGAGAGGAAGATATAAAAATTCAGCGGAACCTTCTGTGCCTGCAGCTCAAACCTCTTTTGGCATTCAAGGCTCAGCCCAGTCTGGCTGTAATTGCCTCTTTGCACTCCTCTCTGGTGTCTCTGAGAGGCAGCGGCCCCTGTGGAGGGACAGGATTGCACTCCTGGATAAAGAGTCCCAGGAAGTCCGTCTACCTTGATTTGGCTTATTTTATTTTATTAAATATTTAAGATGACAATGACAGCTTTGTAAAAAGTACCTTCTCTGTAGGGCCCTGGGGAGGACGTTCCCCACATCCCTCTCCCCTCCCCACTCCTTTTTCTTGAGGGTGGGTCCCAGCCTAGGCTCTGCCACCAGCCACTGTGTGTCCCCATGTGGACATCTTGCTTCTCTGGGTCTCCAAGACTCCCTCCTCCGCCTCCTCCTAGCCATCCATTGGGAGCAGGGTGGATGGATTTCAGATGTGTCCAAGGCTGACAAGACTGCAAGGGCTTTTTTTTGGCTCATGGGCATCACAGCCTCGACCTGCTGGGCTCAGGCGATCCTTCCACCTCTGCCTTCCAAGTAGCTGGAACCACAAGCATGTGCCACCATGCCTGTAGAGACAAAGTCTGGCCAAGTTGCCCAGGCTAGTCTCTGGCCTCCACCTCCCAAAGTGCTAGGATGACAGACATGAGCCGAGCCCAGCTTGCAAGGGCTTTTTGAGGTCTTCCCCCCCCTTTTTTTGAGTTGGAGTCTCACTCTGTCGCCCAGACTGGAGTGCAGTGGCACGCTCCCAGCCACTGCAGCCTCGACCTGCTGAGCCCTGGTGATCCTTCAGCCTCAGCCTTCCGAGTAGCTGGAACTACAGGCGCGCACTACCATGCCCGGCTAATTTTTCTGATTTATTGTAGAGATAAAGTCTCGCCAAGTTGCCCAGGCAGGTCTGGAACCCGCGGGCTCAGGCAATCCACTCGCCTCGACCTCCCAAAGCGCAGGATTACAGGCTGAGCCACTGAGCCCGGCCTCCTCTCCCCCTTTTACAGAAGGGGCAAACTGAGGCCTGGGAGCAGCCCAGTCAGTCTCAAGGACCTGGACCTCTGGCCTCCTGGCCTGCAGCCTTTGACTCTCTGGAGGTCCCAATTAAAGCCTCCACAGTTCATCCAGTCTTGGGCTGGGTCTACACAGGGGTCCAACCAGGCAGCTGAACGAAGCCACTGGGGTGAGACAGCCAGGGGCGGCAGCAGCATGGAGGAGGTGGGCCGCTGTCCTGCCTCACCCCCTATGCCCTACTCCTGGGTGGGCTCCTTTACAACTTCGCGGGGCTCTGGGGAGCAGCGCGGCAGTCTGCCTGGCAACCCGTGACATCACAAGGAAGCTACTGCCGGATTGGTTCGACGCTCCCTGAAGGCGGGGAAGGTTCCTACTCATTGGGGGTTTTGGAGCTCTCTCTCCAGATCGTCCTGGGGTTTTTTGTTTGCTTGTTTGTTTTGGGGGGCTTTTTTAGTCAGAGTCCCACAGTTGCCGAGGCTGGAGTGCAGTGGCATGCTCACGGCCACCGCAGTCTCACCCTGCTGGGCTCGGGCGATTCTTCCGCCTCACCCAAGTAGCTGGAACTACAGGCGTGCGCCACCACACCAG